AACACTGATAAGACGCGTGCTGGTGCCATGGAGAAAGTGTCTAATATAGTTCCTCCATGGCTGGTGCCGAGAGGTGGGCGCGACGCTCTCGGCTGCAGGAGAGGGGGGACGTAGGTGAGGGCGGGAGCAGGAGGTCAGGAAGAAAATGAAAAGTAAGTGTTATGCGCCCCAGCAAGTGTGTACAAGATGATTGAAATTTATAAGCCCTCACCAGGGCCCAATCTCCAGAGGCGTATAATGCACCTACGAACTGGATGCACCTCCCGGTGTTTACTAGCTGTCAAAATGTTATACGCACCCTTGTTTGCACCGGCCTGGTGCGTAAAACTAGATCCGACGCTTGGGGCTACACTGGGGCGCTGCGCCCGGCGTGCTCACGGGCGCGGCGGGGCAGGAGTGCGAGCCTCGCGGAAACGGAACATAGTGTAGGAGTGTAAGAAAAAAATCACCTCCTTCGGAACAGCACAGGCAAGCCGCAAAAAGTCGCGCGCCTGCGAGTCCCGGCAGTTAGGTGCCACTGAACTGAACGGTAGCACATGGTCCCATGGGCATAGGCAACCTTACCTGCTACACTCCTCACTCCTGTTAGCAGCACAGGAAACATAGTATAGACCGAGTAGCAAGTGACCCACTATCTGCTAATTAAGTGGGAGTCTCATGTGTACGAAGCACCGGCCGCCGTTTGCCTCTTGCCGCAGGAGAAACAGATAGGATAGAGAGAGGAAGAGGGGGGGGGGAGTGATTGCGGCGATTACTGCGATGAAAAAAAAGGACTTCCTTGCGATCGCACCATAACGGCACAAGGACCGCCCCCTCTCTCCTTGCGCCTAATCGCTGCAGGGCGCGATAAGGAAGTGACCGCTGGCCTGGCTCCGCGGAGGATGTCAGACCGCAAGTGGCGAGACGGGGGTGGAGCAGAACCGCGTCATCGACAAATTGCATCGATTCCAGAACTGGAGTCGTCCTCTCGGCCTCCCGTAACCGATGCTACAGCTGGCTGGACATGAAAAATGACGACCCTTTTGCTCTGTACCGGGTGGTGTCCAGGCCAAGACATGCCAGAACGTTGGGTTGCCTTGAAGATATCCAGTTAGCGTTTTCGGGGTGCGTTATGCGATGCGTGATGCGTTTCTCAAGATGCGATGGCGATGCGATGGCGATTCGTGATGCGTTTGTCGAGATAAGAAGTACCAGGTGGAGGTCCGGATGCGATATTTGACTTGAGGTGCGAGGAGGCAATGAAGTGCGAGACGCGATGCGGTTGCGATGCGAAATGCGATTTGACGATGCGTGATGCGTTTATGCAGTCCGAGGTACGATATTTGATTTGAAGTGCGAGGTGCGATGCGTGCGATGCGTACGTGCGTGCGTTTTGTATTTTATCTGTCAGAGGGTTCGTCCAGAAAGTACGTCCGTATTTCTCAGATGCATTCGGCAATGCATGAGAGCTCGGCGGCTCGGCGCCTGCGAAAATCGGGTTAGGCTACTTCGCAGTACACGCATGCATGGCATGCAAAATGTTGCCTACCATGTAGGCGCTGAGCATCAGCTGAGCTATGAGCTTGGCAGTTTAGTTTCGTAATGGCAATTAACGGACGAACTGCTGCGGATTCTAGCTCAAAAATTGGATTTTTAAAAAATCGAAAGCCACAGGTCCCCAAAATGACGTTT